TTCTTAGGTTCTGTGAAGACAATATTATTTCAAGGGAACTATATAAAATGTATAAGTAATGCATTGAAAAAGTAGGAAAAGTGAAGGAGACCTTATATTAGAGTCATATGTTTTAAGTCTATATAAAAATAGATAGTTAAAGGTAAATACAAAAGTGTGTGTGATTCTTAAGTACTGTGAGCCCATGATGTTATGGTTAGCAGAGTGCAGGTGAGGAGATGAAGAAGAAATCTTGGAAAAAAAGCAAAGCCTAATTTAGAACAGCCATTAGGAAGTAGTTTATCCTGAAATAGGCTATTTGCTGGGATTTTCAGGGCTGATAAGAGAGAGTGAGGGGGAGAAAAAGTGATGATTTTTTTCTTTTTTCTTCCCCACTGAGAATGCATGCTTAAATCTCCAAATCTTTTCATATACTTTTGCTCACAATGCAAAATATTCAAATCACAAATGTAATGGTTAGTTTGTAAAAGTCATACAATATGTATGCTGAACAGTATTTTTAAAGTAAGAAAATGTTTAGACATGTGAATGAGCACCTGTTTTTTTCTCGTACCATCAAATTGAATTGGATTTTAAAATAACTATTCCAATTACTGGAAAATATTACTGTAATTTATACCCACTGGGTCTGTACTCTGTCCTGGACTGGAATGACTGAATATGGGGATGTTTTCTCTCTGGAGAAAGTTTGAGGGACCTATAATGCTCATAAGCTAGTTTATATTGCTCTGTTGGAACTGCTTTATACTTGCTACTGCAAAATCTGTAGCTTCTCTGCTTCTGTTGATAGGAAGGGTAGCAAGTGAGTCTCTGTAGTTGTGGGTATACTATTTCTGTCCACACAGCACGCTCTCCTCCCTAAAATACATGAGATTTAGTTTCCCCCAAATTCCACTCATCTTCCTCTCCAACACTCGCACTATGGCATTACACTGGTTTTGTTTTAGTTTAGCAAAACCATCCTTGAAGTATTAGGTAAAAAAGGATTGCTTTAGAATAATTAATTTTTTTGCTCATAGATTAAAATGGCAGTATAAAAGGAATTTAGTTTCCGAGATCAGAATCATCTGGATGTCTCCTTCCTGCCCTAAGCTCAACTAGAATGGCTCTGTGCCAGCAGGTTCTGTAGCAAGAGGACGAGAAGGGATCTTCTCTCTTCCTCTATGGTTTTTCTCCAAAAAGTAGATGATTATCTCTGTGGCAATTGCTGAGGCCCTGAGGCTGATGCTATCGCTATTGTCTCCAAATCCTGATGCATTGAGACGCATAGTAAATCTTCCTAAGGCTAGGCTCAGTGAATAAGTAATGAAGAACAGAGAACTGGGTAGGTGCCTTTCTCCCATCTGCCATGAAACAATGGTACATGGCTTCTACTCTGTCAAAGACTTTTCACAGCCATGGATGAAGGCTTAAAGTTTCTCCTTAAGATGCATATGCTTCCAGGCAAAAGCACACTTTTATGTACCTTTGGCTTTCTCTCAAAGCTTGAAAATCTATACAACTCAGATTATAGCAGGTAATGGATTGCTAATGAAAATAGAGGTGAACTGTAAGGATTTCTCTAAATCAGGTTTTTCAACTTTTGATCTACAGTCCATGAGCTATCCTTAGAGTCCCAAGAAAGTAAGAAATGCAAGGATGTTGTCAGTGTGCTTCTACTTTCTTTATAGAGGTCTGCATCTTGATTAGAAAAATTTTCAGGGGGAAAATAACAAAAAAAATTTTGAAAGGGCAATGGGGCATTTTCTTGGGTATTCTATACTTCTATCTTCTTATTGCTTTCAGACTTTTCGTAGGTATGTAAAAGTTACACTACTAAAGTGGAGTGTGAACATTATTAAAGAGAAAGAGAGTTCTGGAATAAGATTAGCTTCTCTTTGGATGAGGGACAGTGATCCCCATTTTCATTAGGGATTGATGATTAGCATTAGAGTGCTAACAGAGACTAAAGTTACCATTCTCTGAGAACTGTTCTTCTCAAAACTTCAGGCCAGCAGGAGAAGGAAGATAATTTAACCACAACTAAGAAAGCTTAATAAGGCAAAACAAGAACCTAAGAATACACATCAGTAATGTAAACAGAAGGCTAAGTGGGATAGAAAGTGACTCAAAAGAAGAAATACAAATCATGTATTTATCAGCCATTGGTAATAGAAGGGGAAACTGTTGCTGTGGTATACCGTAAGGGTATTTTATTTCTTTGTTTTAGAGAATCAAGGAACCTGCTCTCCTCATATCTCAGGTCTGCTGCATCTAAATGTTTAATTGTATCCAGTTTATACTGGTGTTAACAGCCTATCATCCCAGAAATCCAAGTTTTTTACTAGCCCAGGCTTTTTTCAGGAGAATTGTACCAGTGTGGAAGGCAGTTGCTTTTGCTCAGGATCGGCCATGAGCCAAGGGAAGGAAAATACAGTTCAGCTCGGATCTCATATAAGATCCTCTTTGAACAGCTACAGAACTTCCACACAAAACTAGAAATAGACAAGGATGAACATCCCAGAGTGTATTACAAATAATGTTATTTGGCCAGAGGATGGTTGGCCCTTGAGAGTTAGGGGAAGCAATTGCATTTTCCCCACTCACCATGAGATACTGTTTTGCTTTGATCAGTCCACTAAAGTTGAGATGGCAGAAAAGCTGCACCAGTTTTTCTGTGAAACTAATTGTGGGCTAGCTCTTGAATATTGGATGACAGCTGAAAATGGGGGAAGATTTGGATATTCATGCTGTGATTAAAATGTGCAAATGTGAACATGTAGATTGGCAAGTGACATCTGTTTCCTTTTAGTGTGTTCCATATAGCTGGAAGCTTCCAGAGGTTTTCAGGGCTCAATAACTTGGCCCAGGTTTTTGCCTCTAGAATTAAAAATGTACTCTTTTTTTTTTTTTTAAATAAGTTATGTCATCCAGAAGTAGGAAAGAGTTGCTAGAATGTAATTTCATATCTATAATTTCTTCCTAAATAGTTAAAAATTACGTTTTCTCATCAAAATGTGTACTTCTGCTTTGCTTTATACAGCTGAGTTGTTTGTACAAAGCGAAAGTGCCAATGTGTTGTGATAGAATTGTTGGTTTTGTTAACTTAGTTTGTATGGAACAATGTTATGTTAGCTTTTTTGATCCATTTTGCCAAGGGCAGTGTTTGCACTGAAGTGAATTACTCTTAATGGAGCAGCCTGGGTGTGGTACAAATGGTTCAGTGTTTCCAAATTATCTATGTTGAATAAATACCACACCTTTATATTTCTGCCCAGTGTCCACAGTGCCACTGTTCAAAATATTTCAGTGTAGTAGTGTGCCTTCCACCTTTGAAACTCGTGGATCTTGACGCATCTCTTGGGGAGGAAAAAGGTGAAAATTCACAAGAATGGCCACTGATGCATAGAAGTAGCTGAAACAAGTTGAACAATTCAAAACATCTCAGCTAGTTCAGATGTATGCTAGTAATTAAAATGAAACAAATGCTTTAGACTATGCTGGCTGTTAAACTTACTGAAAATCTAATATATATCAAGCATCTTAGAATTTTTGTAAGTTGCTTGGAGTATGTTTGCATGGGGTAATGAGGTATCAGTGGAGAAGAGTGATTTTATCAGTATCTGTGTAGACATAGCATGTTTCCTATTTACTGACATCACTAGTGTCAGTAATGTTTTATGCTAAAAATTTTTGTAAAGATTTAATTTACTAGAGATTATTAATAAATCTGGTATTAAAACTTCCTTCTCCCTGCCCCTGAGACAACACTTTTTCAGAACAATTGTGGAATAGATGTTTTATAGCACTGGGAAACAATATACCTAGATATGATGAGGATGCCTTGAGGGAATGGTTAAAGATTACTGAATTTAACTGAATCCAACTTTTGCTCTTCCTCTAATTACCTTTGAAACAAATGGTATTCAGCCTGGTTAATCACCACCAATTTAATTAATTTCACCAGTCTCTTGAAACAGACTTGTTTAAAAAAATCAAGATACATAATCCTAGAGTCCTATGTATATATTGCTATTTATGCTATATAAAGGTAATGAACTCATTCAAAACTTGGTAAATATATAATAACAATATTGAAGAATTTGATAATGTAAGAACATCAAATTCACATTTACCTGTTTTGTTTGGTTAAATAAATTACAAGGGTAGATCTACCAAAGTGCTAATATGATACCCAAAAGAAAACAAAGTGTATGTGACAAGCCTTTTTTTCAAAATGAAAACCTAGATTTTTATTATGTAGCCTTCTCCTGAGAAGTTGATTAACAACAAATATTAGCAAGCTTGTACTTCATTAAGCAAATAACACTGTATTGCAATATTACATTACAATTATTTAGAAGAAAATATTCATTCAAATTAACTTTGTTTTATTGTTAATTTATCTTACTAAAATATACTTCTAATGGTTAAAGCTGAACTATTAGAAACGGTTTGTTTCCTCCCTCCTTTTTCCTATCCAAAACCCCCTTTATTAATCCAAACACAAACAAAAACCCTATCCTATTTCAATATTCTGTCTTAAGGATTAAAAAGAAAAAGAGAGCTGATGAATTACTACTTTCATACTGTGTTTTGAAAATATAATCACTTGTTTTAGGTAGATCTCAATGTAGACAACAGCTATTTTTTTTCTTTCCTTTATATAATTCCATGTGGTCAGTTATTTAAGTCCATTCACATATATCAGCTAAAATACATTTTTGGGGCCCATGGTGGTTATTGAGCTTGTTTGGCTAAGTCAAAGTGTTAAGGTTTTTTCTAGCAGGAGAGAAATATTCAGTCTTTTCTCTGAATGAAATAAATCTCAATGCATTTTTAAACCAGTCATCCTAAATATAGAACATACTATAAACTTTATTTTTAAAGTAATTACTGTAAGACCTAAGATACTTCTTTTTTTCTCCCTGATATATACTGATTACTTTATTCACTATAAACTTATTTTCTAAGATGAAGGGGAAGAGTTTTGTAATTATTTTTTTTTTCCTCTCTCCTAGGTTTTTGAGTTTGAAGGAATAATAGATTTTTGCCTACGAGAAGAATGCAGTGAAACTGCCAATATTTCTAGCTGGAATTATAGATTTGATATTCAACTTTAGTGTTACTCCTTTCTTATTGAATAGTACCTCAAAGTAGAAGAAAAATGTATGGAAGCGCAAGAACAATCAGCAACTTAGAAGGAAGTCCCTCTAGGTCTCCTCGTTTGCCAAGATCTCCTCGCCTGGGCCACAGGCGAACAAATAGCGGAGGAGGAGGAGGAACAGGTAAGACGCTGTCAATGGAGAACATCCAGTCCCTTAATGCAGCCTATGCAACATCTGGACCAATGTATCTGAGTGACCACGAAGGTGTAGCTTCTACTACTTTCCCAAAGGGCACAATGACTCTTGGAAGGGCTACAAATCGAGCTGTATATGGTGGTCGAGTCACAGCTATGGGGAGCAGTCCTAATATTGCTTCAGCTGGACTTTCCCACACAGATGTCCTTTCTTATACTGATCAGCATGGAGGTCTGACCACATCTTCACACCATCATCACCATCAGGTTCCTTCAATGCTGAGACAAGTTAGAGATAGTACTATGTTAGACCTGCAGGCTCAGCTTAAGGAACTACAGAGGGAGAATGATCTTCTCAGAAAAGAACTAGATATTAAGGACAGCAAGCTGGGATCCTCCATGAATAGCATCAAAACTTTCTGGAGTCCTGAGCTAAAGAAAGAGAGAGTATTGAGGAAAGAAGAAGCAGCCAGAATGTCAGTTCTTAAAGAGCAAATGAGAGTTTCCCATGAAGAAAATCAGGTAAGTAATGCTGAAAGGTTTTTTTTCTATTGATTTACAGCTGAGCACTTGATATTTTGCTTATGATACCATATCCTGTTCTGGAGCAAGTCTGACAATAACAACGAGAGTTGTGTATCTTGATTTATCTGCCTGTGGCTGCTAACAGTAGGAAAGCACGCTAATAAGAATCTAGATGCAGGTTATAATTTCCTTGATGCAGCATTCTTTCACGTTATAGCTGAGAAGAATAATTGTTTATTACTACCTACTTTCTTATTTGTGAGACTTTCTGTAGTGCTTTTTCAATGACAGTTGAAATACATCCTTCAACCTTTTCTGAAGAGGTAAATGACCCACTTCTGCAAATGCATAAATAAAGATGCACAGGCATATTTTTATGTGCTACATAGGGATTTACCTGCCCTGTTTTCATTAAAGCTAAAAGAAGATATGCTATTATATTCTCAAATGTAAAACTTTAGAATTCTGCATGCTTCAGAATGAAGTTGTGTTTTCATCTACATTTTTAGAGACCTGTGTGTTAGAAAATGAGCATCTTGTAAATATGCTTTTCAAGTACTTGTATGCATGATGTAATTACTAATATTTTCTTTCCTAAAACTGTAAAAAGATTTAACTCCTTTAATCTGAATGAATAAAGCTATAGTGTCCAACTTTGTGAGATTCTACGCTGTTTTTCAAAGCTATATATAAACCAGTTGCATACAGTGGATAAATTTGCATATTGTAAGGCTCCATGCTCTTTTTGATTGGTGGTCATATTGCAAAGCTACTCCTTTTTAGACTATCAACTTTCCTCTGACAAAAACGCAATCCTATGTTTCTTGCACTTACAAATCCCCAATCTAAACTTCTTCATTGACTGGCAGGCAGCAGTAATTGAAATTTTTATTTTCTTTCTGTTGAATGTCTGATCACCATGCTTCTCACCAAACTTCCCAGCTCTTAGATATTTAGTTACAAAACATACCTGTGAAAGTAATGTATGCCTGGTTTTGGCTGATACCGGTTATTCTGGTGGGAAACTGACTGAGTTTCAAGCAGGAATTCAGTACAGTGAATTAATATTGTTTGTGCATTACTCAGGTATGCAGGCAGTACTAGATATCAAAAGCAGGTTTCGTGGAGGTTCTGCTTTTTCCAAGAGCCCTTTTGGTGAATTCATAATCTTAGATATTGGTGTCACCTTAATAGAAGAGGAAATATTATAATAAGAGAGTCCTTTGACTTGAAGATACAAAGCAGAAGTCAAGATGAACTTCACAAAAACACAGATTAAGTTTGTAAGGAGGACCCTTACTATTCAAAGAGCCCAATGAAAAATGGAACTGAGATAATTTCATGTAGAAAGCCTATTTCTTACCACCTCAGAGAATAGTGGAATCTGCATGAGACAACAATCAGTCTTTAATCAAAAAGAGGGCCTGTTCAGCAATGAACTCTGCTTGTGAGATGCCAACACAGCAGTGAGTAGGAGTTGATGCAGCTAAAAGCAGGTGATGATGTCTTTTCTGCTTCTGTGTCAGAAGAATTCTTCGTTATTCTGACCAACCCTTTTTCCATTGATGAACTTCCTTTGAGATGTAAAATGTAGAGAAACTGAATCTGTTCGCTGTAATGTCTCTGAACTTTTATAGTTTAGAATAGGTTCTATGCAATATTAGAAACTAATTGCTTTGAAGAACAGTCATTTCTATTTTGGAATGAACCACTGATTTTCAGAGGCTAGAAGGGTAGTCTGAAGAAGTACCATTCATGTATTTACTCTGCTTGTATACTCTTTCATGTTTGCTGGTCTTTGTCACCATTTGAAACAGGGTATTGGCTAAATGAAACTTTGATATGATCCAGTGCAGTTATACTTATGTGACCAGTTTGAAGACATATCTCTTTATCAACAATTTTGGATTCTTTTATAGTCCTGTAATGTGGTTTTATAGCTTGAAAGTCTGACTCTCCTGAAATAGAGAGGCCTTTCTTCTCACTTTTTCTGCAAGGACAACTTGTATAATTGCACTGTATTTTGTTAGTAAAATAATGTTTCTTAGTGAAATATCACATTATCATCTTCTATTTAGAGATGACATGGCACATGGAGTCTGAATCTAGTATGTAGAGACTTTGAGTCAGCTACCAAAGTGGTTATGCGTTATTTTTTTCAAAGCTATTTCCGCGTCCTGAAAGGTAAGTGAATTAGTAACTCTATCATCAGTCTTTATTATTCATTCATTTCTTAAATTATAGTATCTCTTTATTTTAATCAAATGCTCTTATTTTTTTAAGAGTGAACTTAAAAGACAGACAGAACATATTTTACCCTATCTATATATTTAACCTGAGTTCTTATGCTATAAGAAAATAATAACATAAAAGATTGGGTCAGATTGAAACTCTGTCTAGCCCAGTATTCCATCACTAGAAATTCCAAAAGCTAATTAGCAGAGCTAGTGTACCATGAGATCTCCACTGAGTACTCTTCCTGATCCAGCAATGGTTTCTGTGTACTCAATAACTCTAAGTTGATTTTTCTTTGAGTTAATCCGGCCCCCTTTTGAACCTGTTTTAAACTTCTAGCATCCGCAACATCTTATGACAAGCAATCCCACAGTTTAGTAGGTGATGCGAGTAGTCACTGCCTTTTGTTTGTTTTTTGTTCTAGACTTTGGCTTTGTTCTAGTCCTTTTGCTCCTAGCAAAAGGAGCCCCATTTTCATTTACTGGAAGAAACATTGAATAGTTGATCTCTGATGCCCACTTCCATGCCGCTTATGATTTTTAGAACTCTGTCACATCCTCCTGCAACTCTTTTTCTAGACAGAAGAGTATTAGTGTATCTAGTACTTCCTTGTATGGAACTGTGCCATTTCCTTGATTCTTCTCTGAATCTTGCAGACTTTTTTTTTTTTTTTTTTTTTGAAGTGAAGAGACCAGAAGTGCTTATGTTCTTAATACAGGTGAAAAATGCATTATGCATTGATGTGAGTGTTTACTCTCATATTCTGTATGTCTCTCCCAACACTCTGTTTGTTCTTTCTGGATTTTGATGATTTTTGTACTGCTACTGATTACTGAGCTAATGTTTAAATGGAAATATTTATCATAGCTGCAAAATCTCACAAGTAGTTATAATCAATTTAGATCTCATCTTGTTATGCATAAACTTAAGATTATTTTCCCTAGTGCATAGCTTCATGTTTATCTCCCTGAATTTCATCTGCCAGTCTTTGCCTAGTTACTTAGTCTTCTAAAATCCTCTTTACATTTGGCTTTTTTTATTACCCTGAAAAACCTAAAATCCTCAGTGAAATTGGTCATCTTGCTGTTCACCCTGCTTTCTGGGTTACTTATGAATATGTCAAGCAGCACAAATCCCTGTGACAGAGTCCAGCGAAACTTCACAGGGGAATTCTCTCTGTTGTGTGACCTGACCATTTATTTCTACTCTCTTTCTTGTAATCAAATATTTACATATGAAGTGAATTCCTTACTCACCTGGTTATTGATTCCTTCATACAACGGGTTTCAATTAAAATGGTCAAATAACTATATTTTTGGAGACAATGTTGTTGAGGACATCTAAAAAGTTATGCAGTGATAGATCTAGGTATATCCTAGATAGATATTCAATAAGAAGGGAAACTTCTTATTGAAAGATGTTTTCATAGTAGAACACTGAAAAATGTTTTCAAATTGACTGTGCATGATGAAATTGACCCTGAATAGGACATTTGGGCAGTCTCATAGTCAACTTGCAGAACTTGTGGAGCACCAGGGCAATCTCAGCGGACCAGAAAAGAGCAAAGAGGAAGAAGTGACAGCTTCATTGCAGTTCCTTGAAACGTACTAAAAGAAACAATCGAAGAAATGATTTATTTGTAAATACTTAAAATATAAGGAAATGAATAAAGTCAATATGGATTTGTTAAGAATAAAATATGTAACACCAGTCTAATTTTATTGTATGACAGAAAAACAAGCTTTATAGTCGTCACATATATTGAAGTTAGGAAAACTGTTTGCTATGTCTCAATAGCATTCGCACGAGCAAGCTAGTGGGAAGCATACCAGATGAAATTGCTATTATGTGGATGCATATCTGGTTGGAAGACTGTGCTCAGAGTATAATTATCAATGATTCATGGTGCAATTGGAAAGATGATGCCTAGAGAGATTCAGCAAGGATCTGTCCTATGTTTGAGGTTTTCATCAGTGGCCTGAATGATGGATGTGCGTTACATTCCCAGAGGATATCAAGCTGGGGAGGGCTAAAAACATCCTGGAAAATAGGATTATAATTGAAAATGATTTTGACAAATTGGAGAGATGGTCTGGAAAAGCAGAATGTGTTTTAACAGAAAGTTGGTAGAATTTAAAGCCGCCTCTTTGAAGCAAGAGAGCTAGACAGATATTATTTATGGACAGTGACTTGGATATTCCTGATTTTCTTTTAAAAATTATTTCACTTTTGCAGCTATATGCTCTATTTTTTTGATATCGGAACCCAAAGGCACATTAGTTGTCTCTCTGTTCCTGATTCTTTCTGTCATTTTTTTTTTTTCATAACACAATTAGTATTGTTCTTAAAATGGACTGAGTATATACAGAGGGGCAGGAATACTCTAAGCCTTTTTTAAACTCTTAACAGTGGTTCTTCTTGGAGTCATCAATTTGCCGTGTCTTAAACAGAGATTTTGCATGTTTTTTCCAGGTAGATTGCTATTCTTACTAATCTTATTTGAATATATTATATAGAAGAATTATAGAAGATTTGCCTGGTGATCAAAAGGGTAGGAGGAAGAAAGAACTGAGAGAACACCAAAAATCCTTCAACAGTATTAATTCCCAGGATTGCTGCCTGCCTGTTGAAATAGATTGAGAACTGGCTTATTCATGTGGATAACACAATATATCAAAGTTTAGCAGTTAACACACTGCTTTTGTGACACTACGATAATTGAATTAGATCTGCTATGGTGTTTTTAAATAATCTCTAAAGTC